CCAAAATCCCTTATATTTACACACTCAAAAATCCTCAACAAAATACAAGCAAACTGAATCCAGTAACACTGGACTCTACACAATGACCAAATATTTATCCCCAAAATTCAAGATTGGACTAACATTTGAAAATCAACTAATGACTACATTAATGCATTAGAATTATATCAATAGACTGAAAAATGAAAATCACATGATCATCTCAATAGACACAGAAAGAGCATTTGACAAAATCCAACATCCTTTCATGATAAAATCAATTTCAAAAAATTGGCATAGGGCCAGCCCCATGGCTCACTCAGGAGAGTGCGGCGCTGATAGTGCTGAGGCTGTGGGTTCGGATCCTATATAGGGATGGCTGGTGTGCTCATTGGCTGAGTATGGTGCGGACCACACCGTGCCGAGGGTTGCAATCCCCTTACTGGTCAAAAAAAAAAAAAATTGGCATAGAAGAGAACTTCCTCAACCTGATAAAGGGCACCTATGAAAAAAATGCAGTTAACATCATACTTTTTGGTGAAAGAATAGATGGTTTCCCCCTAAGATCAAGAAAAAGACAAGGATGTCCAGTCTCACCACTTTTATTTAACATTGTGCTGGGGGTTCTAGCCAGGACATTTAGGCAAATAAATGCATAATTAATAAAAGACACCCAGATTAGAAAAGGAGAAATAAAACTATCTCTATTTGCAGATGACATGATTGTGTACACAGAAAATGCTAAGGAATCCACTAATAAACTATTGAGAATAAGTAAGCTTGACAAGTTTATGGGATACAAGATTAAATACAAAAATCAGTTGTAATCTTATACACTTACAATAAACGATCTAAAAAAACCCAATTCCATTTGCAATAGCATCAAAAAGAATAAAAAAGGAATAAATGTAATTTATACTCTGAAAACTACAAAGCATTGATGAAGAAAAAAGATCTGAATAAATGGAAAAATAACCCATCACTGTGAATCAGAAGGCTTAACATCTTAAGATGGCAATTTTCCCTGTCAAAATCCCAGCTGACTTTCTGTAGAAATTCATAAGCTGATTCTAAAATTAGTATGGAATTACAAGGAATCCAGAACAGCAGAACAACCTTGAAAAAGAACAAAGTTGGAGGACTCACTTCCCAACTTCAGAGCTACTACAAAGGAATGATATCAAAATGTGTGGTCCTGGCACAACAGAACAGACTGGCAGAATAGAAATAAAGAGTTCTGAAATAAATATATACATCTGTGATCAAATGAGGGGTGAGAAGACCCATTCAATAGGGGAAAAAATAATCTCTTCAAGAAATGGTGCTGGGACAACTGGATATGCATATGTGGAAGAGTGAAGTTGGACCCGTACCTCACTCCATATACAAAAATTAAAAGAAAATGTATCAAAGAGTTAGAATTTACTCAGATCTTTTTTCTTCAACAATGTTTTGTAGTTTTCAGAGTATAAGTTAAAACTATAAAACCCTTAGAATAACACAAAAGGGTAAATCTTCATGATTCTGGATTTGGCAATGTATTCTTAGGTGTGACACCAAGACCATGAGTAACAAAAGAAAAAACATAAACTGGACTTCATCAAAATTAAAATACTTTTGTACTTCAAAGACACCATCTACAATGCACAGAATGGGCGAAAATATTTACAAATCATATATCTGATACGGGACTTGTATTTAGAATATATAAAGAACTCTTACAACTCAATAATAAAAAAGACGAATAACCCAATTTAAAAACAGGCAATGGGGGCCGACCCCGTGGCTCACTTGGGAGAGTGCGGCGCTGGGAGCGCAGCGGCACGCCCACCACGGGTTCAGATCCTATATAGGGATGACCGGTGCGCTCACTGGCTGAGCGCGGTGCAGACGACACCAAGCCAAGGGTTGCGATCCCCTTACCAGTCACACACACAAAAAAAACCCACCAGGCAATGGGTCTGAATAGACTTTTCTCTAAGATAGTCATGAAAGAAATGCAAATCGGTGCGCTCACTGGCTGAGCGCGGTGCAGAGGACACCAAGCCAAGGGTTGCGATCCCCTTACCAGTCACACACACAAAAAAACCCCACCAGGCAATGGGTCTGAATAGACTTTTCTCTAAGATAGTCATGAAAGAAATGCAAATCAAAACTAAGATTCCACTTCACATCCTTTGGGATGGCTAGAATGAAAAAGTCAGATAATAACAGGTAGTTATAGAGGATATAGAGAAATCAGAACCTTAATCCACTGCTGGTGGAATAGTAAAATGCTGCAGCTGTTTTGAAAAACTGTCAGTTCACCAAAGTGTTAAATATAGAGTTAACATGTGGTTCAGCAATTCCTCTCCTAGTATATACTCAAGAGAAATGAAAACGTGTCCACACAAAAACTTATACATGCATGTTTATAGCACATTATTCATAACAGCCAAAAGGTGGAAATAAACAAAATGTCTATCAACTGACATATGGATAAACAAATATGGTATATCCATGCAATGGAATATTACTTGAAGCAATGATACCTACAACAAGGATGAACTTAAAAATATTATGCTAAGCGAAAGAAGCCAGTCACAAAAGACCATATACTATTTGATTCCATTCATATGAAAGCCCAGAACAGGGAAATGCAGAAATAGAAAGTGGTTGCTTAGGGCCAGGGGTTGTAAGGGATTGTCAGAAGTTACAAAATTATTTGATTTGAATATAAGCAAACAGATTTTTTTTCCCATTTTTTGGGTGGGGGGGGGAGGGGGCAGCTGGCTAATATGGAGCAAACAGATTTTTATCACCCATTTTTTATTTTTTGACACCTTTTTTGAGATATAATTTGTGTATCAAACAATTAACTAATTTTTTTTTTTTGGGGGGGGGGGCAGCTGGCTAATATGGAGCAAACAGATTTTTATCACCAATTTTTTATTTTTTGACACCTTTTTTGAGATATAATTTGTGTATCAAACAATTAACTAATTTAAAGTGTAGTCACCATCCAGCTACCAAAAAAAGTGTACAGTCAATGCTTTGTAGAATATTGAAAGATATGTGCAACCATCACCAGTCAATTTTAGAACATTTTCATCACCTGTAAAAGAAACCCTGTAACTTGAGCCATCATCCCCCTATGTTCCCATCCCTCACAACTCCCAGGCCATGAAATATTAAATCACAACTAAAAATAGAAAACATAAATATAAAGGTAGTTAAAATTTGATTAAATGCATAAACAAAACAAAACAAAAACCTAGCTACCTTCAAAACACTAGAAAACATGTTTTGGAGTATTAGCACCTATCTAAATTCAGTAGAAATCTTTGATTTCACAGACATATATGTGAACTAACTGCCAGCTAATAGCCCCTCCCCTCCCCTTTTCTTCTAACATCCATGACTATTTCAATACTGCTGTCAAGTAGTTAACTCACAAAACAAATATAAGTCAAATGAAATTACAATATACCAACCTAGTCTCAAAAGAAAATAATAAACAACATTCAAAACTCATATTCGAATGCATTAATGATTATAACTGAACTTGTGCTTTAATGTAGAATATGCTATAAACAACATGTTAAGGCACTTCAAAATGGGATGGCTTCTAGAAGGTTTGTGTATTTGGTTATTTTGTTTTTAAGATTTTATATAGACTTTGGCTAATCTCAAATAATTTCTCAAATACAAACTGCTAGAAAGCAATGCTACTTTCATCAGGAAGAAGGTTAAGAACATGTCAAAAACAGGTCATCTAATTCCTATATTTATCTACTTAATTAGAAAGTATGAAATTGTTCACAGAGTCAGAGAAAAAAATTATTAAATGCAAACTACCATAACCTAATCAAGCTATTTTCTTGCTTAGTAAGGCATGAAATAAGAAGTGTGATTAAGTTAATTTTGTTTTAAACAATCAATAGTCATAAGTAAGTAACTATCACATATAAAAAGAAATCAAAAAGTAAGACACGTTTAGATTTTAACTAAAAAAAATTAAGTCATTTTCTTTGCAATGGTGAATTAAAGGGATGAAAAGAACTAATAACTTGAATAGCCAACTGGCATATACTTTCTTAAGACCAATGGATGAAGCAACTCAATTAAGAACCACACTCAGAGATGACGAACTGACAGTCAAACCTATCACTCGTATCATGAAGCTTCTCACAAAAAGCTGAATTGCTAGAGTCTTTTAATGCTTACTTTTGTTCACTCAAAACTAACTTTTAAAACTTGCTCAATTTTAAAACAAATAGCAGCATGGAGTCACTCACATATGCTTGTTTTCAGTGGCCTCACACAATGACTATCAGATTAGTTACATATATGCTAATGTTTTTATCACAATGAGAAAAGAAAGAAAAAAAGTGGTTTAGAAGATGGAATTCATGAAAAGGCTAGTAATGAATCCTTGCCCACAGAAAATCAGTGACACACTGCCAATATTAACCACAGAAAACAATTTATCAGTATAATAACAAAGGGGTGGAATACATTTTTTCTAAAATATCCAATTCATTTTTACAATGAACCAAACTAATAAATATTTATAAGTTATTCATGTACTTTCCTGTGAGGTTTGTCATTAATATTTATGCTTTTCTGGTATTAGTTTTTTCCTATTCTTCTCTTCAAGGTCTTCCCATAAATTTCTGGGAAGTCTGAAATATCCCTAGGGCCAAGGGTAAATCATTAAAATGATAATTCACGAAAATGTATTTTCACCTACGTAATAAATAAGTCTGTTGTGAGGTTAATTTCTCCTAATTTATATAAAATAATCCCATTAATCTATGAAAAATAATGGTCAGGGGCTGGCCAGTTAGCTCAGTTGGTTAGAGTGTAGGCTTATAACACCAATGGGGTCAAGAGTTCGGATCCCCTTACCAGCTAGCTGCCAAAAAAAAAAAAAAAAAAAAGGAAAATAAGATAACATTGATTTTCCTATGGCTCAAAATCCTTAGACAAATATCTCTCTGAATACTTGTTACTGTAAAGAAAACTCTGTAAATTTTAAATTCATATTTAAACTACCAAATACCTATAAACCAAGTAGCATTTATTAAAATAGAACATACACTTAATTTATACTAAATTCCACTTAGATTTATACAAGTTTTTCTTCCTTAATTTTTAAATACACATGTCATGATTTTTTTAAACATTATCACAGTCAGGTATATACAAAATTGAAATATGACATCCAAGCCAGATTTTGATTTTAAAATAAGGAACCTCTAAACAGCTAGTAATGTACAATCAATGCGTAAAACTCTAATAAAACACAGGTATAATTCTTATATAAATGTTAGTCCTATAATACTGAGCGATATTTACAAGCAAACATGATCCAAACGGCACATGCAGATTCAGGGTAAGTAAACACTCGGACACGAACTGCCAGTCGCACCTGGTCTCCACGGCAACAGATTATTTCTTCACAGAAAGGAGACCTACATAACAAAGAAAATTTATTCAATTAAAAAGTCAGTATCTAAAATAATTTTTTAAAATCCTGTCTCTGTGATTAATGGGTACGAAGTTTCATGCAGACAGGAAGAACAAGTTCTGGTGTTCTAGGCTCACCAGTGCTAATAATATTATATATTTCTTTTTTTTTTTTTTT